AGTAAAACCCCAGAAGCCCTCTAAACCGTGTAAACCCTACAAGCCCTCTCAGCACCCTAACCTAAAGCCTAAACCCTATACCCTAAACCTCCAAAAAGTCACTCCAGTGCCAGCTGAAGTACATCACCCATGGTCACCAGCCACTTCCTGCAGCGGAAGCTGGAGGCTCTAGGCATTTTGGGATCCCCTCTGACCTCTTGAAACCTTGAAACCGAAGACAGGAGCCCTAAACCCTAAACCCTAAGCCCCAAACCTGAAACCGCAAAAAAGGGGCGAATATGATGAAAGTGGTGTAGGGTTTCGGGCTTCAGGGTGCATCTTCCTGTATTCAGGGACGCGTCTTGGGGGCCTAACCCTAAACCCTAAACCCTAAACCCGAAACCCTAATCCCTAAACCCTCCACGTGCGTCCCAGCCGCTTCTCGGGTGTGCTTGACCACCGGCCATTGGACTCCGCACGATTCCTCCAAAAACCCCGAGCATCCCAACTCGACACTCGCACGTGGGCGTACGCTCTACAGTTTTTGCTAGGAGTCCGTATTGAACCTCTCAAAGTACCCTAAACCCTAAACCCTACAAACCCTATAAACCCTATAAACCCTAAACCCTCAACCCTACAAACCCTATAAACCCTCAACCCTAAACCCTACACCCGAAACCCCCGCCCTTCCCTCGAAAGGCCCTTATAAGTTCGGTCTGAGGCTTCCTCTGCCGGCAGGTCGACTCGGCGCAGGAGATGAGGAGGGCCAGGGTGCAGACATGGTAGCCCTGCTCCTGGAGCCCGAAGTTCTTTAGGGGTTTTATAGGGGTTTTCTAGGGGTTTCTAGGGCTTTATAGGGTTTTCTCGGAGTTTCTAGGGTTTTATAAGGTCTTATGGGGCTCTATAGGGGTTTGAGGGTCTTATAGGGCAGATGCTGCAGTCCTGCTCCTGCAGCCAAAAGGGCTTTATAGGGCTGATGAGGGTTTTATATACTGTTTTACATGGCTTTATCGGTTCTTTGTAGGGTGTGCATAGGGTCTTTGTTGGGTTTAGGTAGGGTTTTACAGGGTGATCTAGGGCTTATCGGGTTGCTTAATAGGGTCTTGCCGGGTTTAACTAGGGTTTGATAGGGTTTTACGGGCAAAGTTAGGGTTAGCCGGGTTACCAATGATAGGGCCTGACATGACCCTCCGAGTAGTAGGTCAGGGGACAGGTCTCCTTCATCAGGGCCAGGTCATCCTCCTTGACGTGTGTGTCCGGGTAGATGACGTTCTTGCGAGCCTGCACCAGCTCTCTCAAGAACTGGACTTTCAAGCCCTTGTTCCTGCGCTTGCTTTTCAGGCACATGGTTCATGAGAGTTCCTAGGGCTGCCATAAGGCCTAAGGTTCAGGTTCTGTATAGAACCGAATAAGGCTCATGAAGTCATGAAAGTCAGAGATGCCCACAGCTTTTGCCAAAAGGTCGAGGCTCGCGGTGTTTCTGGTGTAGATGTCGTAGGCATCGAAGTAGCCATTCTGGGCATCCTCTACCACACAGGTCTTCCAGGCATCGTGACAGCCGCGCAGGATGTCGCCGTCAGCCTATTCACTGAACAACCGGGCCCAAGTAGCAACTTTCTAAGCCCGGCTGTAAACCCGAAATGTATAGGCCTTAACTGGAATAGGGTCTTGGGGGTTATAGTTATAGTATCATTATGTAGGGCAGCATAAGGGAATAACATCAGCAATCATTCCGACCCCTCTATGATACCGTAAACTCAGAACTCTAAACCCCTAAACCCTAAACCCTTTCCCAAAATGTAAGTTCCCTGGGGAGCGCGGCGTGCCGCAGCATGTGTTTTCATCTTGGGGCGCCTCTGCGAAGGTGGACAGGTCCAGGCCAAACAGCTCTGCCGCCTTTCAAGTCCAAGGAGAAAAGAAAAAGGGTAAGGATTAGAATGGGGTGTCGGGGGGATTATAGTATATGTATAGAGGGACCATCTGGGAATACTATTCGTAATTATTCCGACCCCTATATTAGTCCAAAAGGCCGGAGACTCTCCGACATTTTTTTGGCTTCGGGGCGGTGATGATAACCCTCAGTCTTTCCCTCTCTTGCCTTAGAATAGGCGGAGAGCATTGCTGTGTGCTCTCTTTGTTTGGGAGTTTACGACAACAGGAGACCCCTACATCAGACCGCCCAAATAGTAGGATTCCCTGATAAGGACCCCAATAAGGTACCCCCATTCTCGGAATCCCTCGTTTCGGCCTTGGGGATAACCATGGACTTCCCTGCACCACTGGGCCCCACGATGCACAGGGCCGTGGGCCGCTCAGAGCTTGGGACTGAAGGCACCTTGGATGGAGTGGGGGGTTCCGAAATGAGGGGTATCTTCTTGGGGTCCCTTTTTGTAAGGGAAACAATATAATTTGTTTCAATGACGTTATGTATATCATATGTTCTCATGTTTATATGTAGTTTTTTGTTTTGAGCTTCTCTCATTTTTTATTTTGTATTTTATAAGGTTCAAACAGAAATATGATTAACTAATGTTTGCGTGTACACATGCATGCATTTTATGCGCGCCTTTTCTGTCTTTGAGAAACATTTTCTCAATTTTTCCATAATATGGTTGATAGGAGGTCAATGAAAATGTTTACTGAAAAGACATACATATAAGTTAACAAATCCTTCAATTTCTAATGATCTATGAGCTATCAAAGTATAAACCCTAAAGGAAGCCCTAAACCCAGCAAAAACTGTCACATGCCCTTCCAGAAAATTCAGGAGCCAGGCACCACATCGATGCGCGAGGCCTCCCGACAAGCGCGGAGCTCCGCGGCCGTAGCGGTTCGACACAGAGCTGTCGCGATGCCCTCGGGCACCTTCTCCTTGGTTCCATACGCCCCTGTGCGTGCAGTCTTGTGCAGCCAGTTCCTTCATACCTAGAATTAAGGTCACTAGAGGGAAAGAAACTTACTGAATTACTCTATCATGATACTCTGATATTCTTACATTACGCTGCCATTCTGATTTAGAATTAGACTAGATTATACTACTATATTGCAGTCTCCCAATAACAAAACACGAACTTCATACCGAGCCCAAGTCTACTCTTACTGTTGGTTAGTAGGGCATGAGGGAATGAGGTACCCTACATCCCCCTATATGATCCCCTTTAAGGGTTTATAGAGGGTACCTCATCTCATTCCCAGCTAACCAACAGTAACCCTAAACCCTAAACCCTAAACCCTAAACCCTAAACCCTAAACCCTAATGCCCAGTCTCGTGCCAGCGCCGGCCGGGCACGGCGCGGCTCGAGGTAAAGTCCCAGCGGATCCCGGGCCCCGCACGCACCTGGAGGGCTTGTCTGAGCCACTGCTACAAAAGACCTTTATGAAATAGCACTTTTTTTAATTATGTATATATATATATGTATATATGTATGTATGTAGGTATGTATGTCATATACACCTATGTAATGAAGGATGTTTGAACTTTATAGTCTGAGCAACTTTCAGGGCCAAAGCCAGAGGATCTTTGCTGTCTTGAATGGGTGGAATGGGGGAAAACAAAGGTCCCCAAACAAGAAATCCCGAATGACCAAACCCTAAACCCTAAACCCTAAACCCTAAACCCTAAACCCTAAACCCTAAACCCTAAACCCTAAACCCTAAACCCTAAACCCTAAACCCTAGGGGGGGCAGAAGACATAAGGAGTTGCCCAGGCGCGGTCTCACGCAGACTGCGGAGGGCAGAGAGGTCCGTCGAAGGCACGGGCTCTTGTCGCGCTTCCTTCGTGCTTCGCATGTTGTGCGCGTTTCGTTTAGGGTTTAGGGTTTAGGGTTTAGGGTTTAGGGTCTAGGGTCTAGGGTCTAGGGTCTAGGGTTTAGGGCAGCAACTCGTCTGACGCCAAGGGACTTGTAAGGAACAGACAAAGAACTTGAAACAAAGACGCGATTGACAGATCGTAGATATACATATGGGGGTTTCCGAAATTTGGGGTACCGCGGGTCCTGATTATAAGGGAATCCTACAATCCTAGGGACTGAATTCAGGGTCCCTTATTTTCGTAAACTCCCAAGTAGCTAGAAACAAAGATGAGATGCACATGTTGTCCTTTTTGTCACACATACATGTGTACGACTGCCAGTGCCAAGCTTCCTGGGTCGCGTAGCCTTGCGTCATGTCAGGGCCCCCAGTCGCCACGAGGAAGCTCCAAGGTGTGTCACATGAGGAACACAAATGGATTTAGGGTTGAGAGCTTAAGGTTAGGGTTTAGGGTTTAGGTTTAAGGTTTGGGGTTTAGGGTGCTTCTCAAGTTTCAAAAGGTGGTCCAGGTTCAGGGGGGTTGAGGGTGTTGAAACTTAGGGTTTAGGGTTTATGTGGGTTTAGGGTGATGATTTGGGGCGTTTGGGTTTCGGGTTTTGGGGTTTTGGGGTCAGAAATTGCTTGAGGGATTCAAGGCCCGTGCTGGCGAAACAGGGCCAATGCACCTCTCATCCTATAGCCTGAACCCCTCAATTTAGACCCCAAAACAACAAACCTTAAGCCTACGAAGCCAAAAACACTGAACCCCATTTGAAGCACACTCTGAGTTCTTCCTTTAAGCCGTGGGGAGAGAGCCGGCCCGAGGGGGCTTACGGCTGCGCAAGGCAGGCGTGAACGTCTGTCGTGTCTGCGATCCGCAAGGGCACGTAGTCCCTGTTTGGGGGGTTTCCGAACATAGGGGTACCCTTTTGGGGGTTCGTAGAATAAGGAATATACTATTTGGGGGTCATATTGTGGGTTTCCCCCTTTTTTTGGAACCCCGCCTTCTTCAGTACCCTAAATAATAAGGCTCCATGTTGTAATAGGGACCAATCAGTTAACTGCGCGAAGCACAACCGCAGCCCGCACCCTAAATAAACACTAGACCCTAAACCCTAAACCCTAGCCCTAAACCCTAAACCCCAAACCCCAAACCCTAAACCCTAAACCCTAAACCCTAAACCCCAGAGACCCTCAACACGCACAAGAGGTGAAAGCAGCAAGTTGCGGCCTATTTGTGCGAGAAGCTCAGACTCGCTTCCTGGGGCCTCAGAGGAGCTCGCGTCGTCTCTGCACTGCAAAAGGTCTGCTAGGGTTTAGGGTTTAGGGTTTAGGGTTATGGGTTTCGGGGTAGGCATTTCAGGAGCATTGCTGCCGCCGAGGATCATGATGCACGAGTCTTACCCAGGCATCATGGAGCCCTCAACCCTCAATCCTGATCACGCGTTGCCACAGGCGGCAGACTAAACAGAACATAACTACGACCCCTTCGTACAAAGCGAAACTTAAGCCTTCAAGGCCACGCCTCGGCCGCAAGAAGCCGCAAGCCCCTCAAATCCAACGATTTCCTCCGAAATCCTGGCAAACCCTAAGCACATCCACAGGAGCCTGAAAAACCATGGCTAGCATCCCCCTTTAAGCCATCCCTGTGTCATCCGAATAGCTCTCAGGCCCCAAGGCACCCTGAGCGCTGGGCCAATCCGTGCTCCTGCAGCCAGCCTGGCGCCAGAGCAAGTTCTATGCCCCGAAGCCCTAAACCCGAAACCCTAAACCCGAAACCCTAAACCCTAAACCTGCCCTAACTCTGAAGCCGAAATCTGATCAAGGGGTTTGGGGACTAGGGTTTCACGTGGCTTCGCCAAAGTAGCCACTCAGACGCCAGGAGCCAGAGGACCTCCCATGATGGCCTCAACCCTAAACCCTAAACCCTAAACCCCAAACCCTAAACCCTAAACCCTAAACCCCAAACCCCAAACCCCAAACCCCCCTGTCGGAGCCGCATCATACGCACCGGAGGAGAGCCCTGAAGATGCCAAGGGATTCTGGGTCCCAAAGATCCCTCCCCTACACTGAACCCCCCGGACCTGTGCGAATATGCAAGGTTTAGGGTTTAGGGTTTAGGGTTTAGGGTTTAGGGTTTAGGGTTTAGGGTTTAGGGTTTAGGGTTTAGGGTTTAGGGTTTAGGGTGTAGGGTTTAAGGTTTCGGGGACCGCGTGATGCTTCGTGTTCTAGCGGCTTTTGGAGAGTCCCTGTTTCTCAACCTCTGGCTCCAATATGCCATGACGGAACACATGACGACAGCCTCGTGCCAACCTGGACCTGAACTTACAAAGGCAGCTATGACTACTAGCTAGCTGAAAGTCTACAGGGTTTAGGGTTTGGGGGTTAAACTACCCAAAATACCCGTTTGTATTTAACAATTGTCCTGAAAACATTCAAAAGCCTGTATCAAACGTTTACGACTTCCCCGTCGGGGCTTTGGACTCGTGGCAATATCAGGAACTATACAACTATGAGGGTATAAGAGTCTTCGGGTAGTAGGGTATTGGGGAGTCTTCGGGCTTAGGGTTTAGAGCTTAGGGTTTAGGGTTAGGATTTAGGGTCTTAGGGCGATAAGGGAAATTCTATAAGGGTCTAAGGGTATAAGGGTAACTATAAGGGCAATCATAAGGGTAATAAGGGTATTAGGGTAATAAGGGTAACCATAAGGGTATAAGGGTATTGGGGAGCCAAGGGAACCCAGCAGCGGAAAAGCAGCCTTCCGTGATGTTCCAAACCCGATCTGGCTCGGCATCGGTGCTGGCGCCGAAGGCCTCGCGCGTCAGGATCTTTCCGGGGATGCCGGAGGCATCCTAAACCCTAAACCCTAAACCCTAAACCCTAAACCCTAACCCCTAACCCTCAACCCTAAACCGCAGGGCAAGCCGGAGCATCCCAAGTTTCCCAGACGGGAGACTCAGGGGACGCAATCTCCCAGACGTCCGACCCAGCAAGCCCTTTAGGGTTTAGGGTCTAGGGCGTAGGTTTTAGGGTGCTTTTTCTGGCTGAGAACCCCATATCATCCCTTCGAAGCCTATGAAGTAGGGTATATATTTCTTGTACCCCCAAAAGGACACCAGGTATATACACTTACCAATTTTAAAAAGGAACCTCATATACACTCACCTGCCAACACCAGTAATATAAACCCTGCTTCATGTAGGGCCCGAATTCCCGCATTCCTTGCTCTGGACCCGGGGGACAATGCAACCCAAATTGCATCTAACCTCGGGGTCGGAAAATTACTGATGGCATTCCCTTCTGGTCCAGCTCTATTTCTAATATTTCTACTAAAGTAACCCCCCCCCCCCAAAAAAAAAAAAAAAAAAAAAAAAAAAAAAAAAAAAAAAAAACCTACTCTAATCTTTAAGGCCCCAAGATTCTTTTCGCTATGCAGTTCCTATGGCTCGAAGTGGCAGAGTTGCACCCAAGGGGTTTAGGGTTTAGGGTTTAGGGTTTAGGGTTTAGGGTCAAGCTTGGGGGGCCTCAGGAATGGCCTGCGAGTCGCCAACCACAAACACCTCGTGGGGTGGTTCGGCGTAACGGATTTGACCCACTCAAGATTGGTATAGGAATGACGTTTGCGCAGGCTTGTGTCGCTGTGTGTGTGTGTGTGTGCGTTCTTTGCTTTAGGTTTGGAGCCTGAGTCCCTCGCACATGCCTTACGCCCCTTATGATATCGATCGGACCGGTGCCCAACGCCCAAATGGCGCCTCTTACTCTGGTCGTCTTGCGCTTGCCTTGATTGGCCCTGAGTTCAGCACCTCATCTTATCTTCAAATGTACCACCCCGGCCAACCGCTGAAAGTCTGCAAGTGCGGCTAAGTTCGGTCAGGTGTTTATAGGCTTCACATCGCAAGGTCAAGCCGATTTTTCAAGCTCAAAACTTCCGCGAGGAATTTGTTAGCCGCTTCGCTAACATTCACACTGCTGGCCGTCTACAGCTGACAGAGAGTGATGTTGTGTCAAGACCTTCGAGATTCTAGGGCGCCCTCTCAGTGAATAAACAAGAAGACCGAGATCGAACATGCAAACATCATCGGCGCATCCTTCCGCTACAGGAAGCTTCAATGGGGTTTGGGGTTTAGGGTTTGGGGTTTAGGTCTTAGGGTAGTTATACAGAACTGTGGAACTGACAAGAATTGAGTCTGTTTCCTCTAATCTCGACTCCAATACCCCGACCGAGTGCAGTTCCTAACTCCTACACACTAGGGTTTAGGGTTCAGGACTGATAGGGTTTAGGGTTCCTAGGTTCCTAGGGTTTAGGGTTTAGGGTTTGGGGTTTAGGGTTTAGGGTTTAGGGTTTAGGGGTGACCCATGGATTCCAAGGCAAGGCACCACACTTCTGGGCAGACGATTGTGCAGTTCCTGGGGCTTCTTCGCGCTCGTTGACTGCAAAGGGCTAAAGTCCCGTGGCAATACTTCTCATAGTCTCGAGTTTAGGGGGCAGCAGGCCCAGAAGTGGAACAGGGCTCCATGTAAGCATCCGCCCCTAAGCAAGGATGGCATGTGCTAAGGCGAGACCAAGGGGGCATGGCCCCTGCGCCCCTGCGCTGCCACGCAACTGGGTGTTTTGGGCTCAAGAAAACGAGCACTGTGCTCTGGTTGGGGAGGGTTTGTAGTGGCTTCCTTCCCCTAAGGTTTGGGTCTCCCCCACCTCTGGAGGGGTCTTCAAGGAGGGTCAAGTAGTCACAGTGCCTGGGGTGTCGGTCAGGTAGCGGAGCCCCGGCAAGGTTCAAGGTCCCTTTGAGAAAGCCGGGGTTCTGAGCCCAAACACTGGCTCTAGCTATGCCATGCATTCTGCCAGTGAAGATACATTTGTTAGCCCGCCTCTTCGCAAGAAAGTGGCTTGAGAAAGCCGGTAGGGCTTTAGGGTTTGGGGCTTCTCTGCCTACTTCTGCAGCCCCGGGTGTATGAAGAATCTGACTAACTATCTGACTCGGCGGGTGCCAATAAGCGGAGAAGTCCTGCGCGAGGGAAGACAGCAGGCTCATCGTGTCAGTGCCTGCCACGTCTTCAGAGGACTGGGTTCTGTTCGGAGACTGCTGACATTGGGCGCGGGCCCATTAAGGTGACGAAAGCATGGTGTTTTTGGCTTCAGTCGAGCTGTCGTTTGGGTCTGTGCTCGAAGAATCTTCGGGACAAAGGCTTGCTCAGCTTGGTCGCCCAAGGCCCAAGGCCGGTAGGTATCAGCTAACTGTTAGTAAGTTGCGCGTAGCTCCCTGAGCTCCGCCTGGCATTTCGGCACCGCCAATGATGCAAACCTGGCGCGCGGGAGTTGGTCGAGGGGATGCCCCGCAGGTCACTCGTCGCAAAGGTCATCGGCAGGCCAGCAAGAACGCCGCTGTGCTGACCCTGCAATAAGGGTTCCCACTTGCTCATGCTCCTTCTTTTCGGCCCTATAAACCCTGCTCTAGAGGCAAGAATGTGCAGCGCAACACCTCCCCAACCCTGCATGATTCCCAAGGAGCTGTTCTTGCTCAAGAGATACGAGCTTGCCCAGTCGACGAATATCTCAAAGGCAGTCCTTTCTTGTATATCAGAGACAGATGAACCCTAAGGAGAGGCTAGAAAGGGTACGACCCTAAACCCTAAACCCTAAACCCTAAACCCTAAAACCTAAACCCTAAACCCTAAACCCTAAGCCCTAAGCCCTAAACCCTAAACCCTATAAACCCTATAAACCCTATAAACCCTATAAACCCTATAAACCCTATAAACCCTAAACCCTAAACCCTAAACCCTAAACCTGAACCCTAAACCGTCCCACTGGGCATCCTATCATCAAGCCGAAGGGCAAAGTAGCCATCCCCCGCTTCGCTTCGCAGCCTGGAGACCACCTGCTGTTCTCAGGTTAGGGTTTAGGGTTTAGGGTTTAGGGTTTAGGGTTTAGGGTTTAGGGTTTAGGGTTTAGGGTTTAGGGTTTAGGGTTTAGGGGTTAGGGTTTAGGGGTTAGGGGTTAGGGGTTGAGGGTTGAGGGTTTAGGGTTTCGGGTTCTTACGATTCTTGCCCGTAGGAGACCGCGCCGTTCGGGAAGGGGGGGGGGGGGGGGCTCGTTCCGTGAGAGTGAGAGCGGAATCTGCTATGATTCTTACTATTTTTCATCTTACTCTGCTGTTACTACTCTTCCGCTTGGGGGGCACCCAGAGAACTTTGTCACCCGACGAAGTCCCTGTTTTGAGGCCATTGCCCGTTCAAGGGGTCGAGACTCGAGGGCTCAGGGAAGCATCAACAAATCTAACTATACAAACCCTGAAGCCTAAACCCCAAGCCAACCAACTGGGGCGACGCAGAATCGTGCAGTGCCGGAATCCCCATCCTCCATTCAAAATTCTTATGTGTCCTGTGTGTGCCTCCTGTAGAGGTGCTGGGGGGCCGGGGAAGGGGTGGCCGGGATGCCAATGGTGGGGTACCGGCACACGGAGCTTTGAACACAATTTGGTTGCTCTAATTGGATTACGAAGATCATCCCCCCCACACACACACACACACACACACACACACACACACACACACACACACACACACACACACACACACACACACACACACACACACACACACACACACACACACACACACACACACACACACACACACACACACACACACACACACACACACACACACACACACACACACACACACACACACACACACACACAACACACACACACACACACACACACACACACACACACACACACACAATCCTCATACATCTCCCTGGAACAAAGCTCAACCTATTCTAAATGTTTAAGCCCCCCTTCCCCCCCCCCCCCCCCCCCCCAGCCCCCCCATACTACCCGCGAACATGTGCAGATGCAGGGTCGAGGCCCCTATAAGCCGAAAACACCCCCAGCAGCCCACCTCTGCCCAAGTCGCAGTCTTTGCGGCCGGTGCAGGGGCCTTCAGTGTTCCAGTGACATGCCAAGATCACCGTGTTGCAGATGCAGCGGTGGGCAGGGATGGAGTTGGAGGGGGGTGTGGGTGTGTGTGTGTGTGTGTCTGTAGAAATACACAGACATTCTATTCTGTCCTTATTTATTTTGTACGATATTATGATATATTGTATTATATATATCTATCTATATATCTATATCTATCTATATATATATATATATATATACATTTATTGAAAAACACCGTCGACGAGATACATGCGGCGCTGCTTGCCCTCAACTTCGAAAACCCAAGTCTACTCCCAGGGGCCTCTGGGGTCGTCTTCCTCTCCACTGGTGGCACTTGCAGCTCCTCAGGAGAGGCAGTTCACTAGGAGGGCTTAGGGTTTAGGGTTTAGGGTAAGGGTTCCATAATATACCAGCACCTCATAAGCACACAAACATGTGTTTCAGGGCTTTGGGTTCTCCTACCCATGGAGACGAGCTGGCTTGGCTGCGGCAAAGCATGTCGGTCTTGTTTCCCTCAAAGACAACCATCGGACCACGTCAGGCAAAAGGACTCCCCATCCAACAGTAGTAGACCTTTCAGAAGCACCTAAAACGAGTTGCCCTAAAGCCTAAACCCGAAACCCTAAACTCTCGCCCCCAAACAATCCCTAAACCCTAAACTCCCGCCTGCCCCAGTGGCTGCTCCGTGCGCTCCAGCGTCCTCTCCGTTCGCTCCGTGGTCCTCGATAGGAGGGGCCACAGGATCCATGTCTTCGGGATATGTATATACATTACACATATGTATATATATATATATATATACATATGGTTTGGGGTTTAGGGTTAAGGGTTAGGGTTTAAGGTCTAGGGTTTAGGGTACAGCCGGGGGGGGGGGTGGAGCTCACTAGATGACTTCCATGTGGGGGGAGAGGGTGGTGGGGGGGTGACGGCACGATAAAGAAAGAATCCGCCCAGGCCTCGGGCCGAAGCAGGTTGTCAGAACAGGCACCCCCCTCCTAATCCTCCCCAAGGTCAAAGCCAGACGTCGGACCCCTTTTTGTACCTGGAAAAGGGTACCTTTGCGTGGGCGACCACAATCTGAAAGCGGACGGTTTGTGAGGCCAGCAGGCCCCGCCCCTCCACCCCCCTGGCCCCCCCCCCCCGCTGCCCTGCCCCCGCCCCCCCCCCCCCCCCCCCCCCCCCCCCCCCGCCTGCTTGGGGGGCCTGGCTCAACTTTACGATCAATCCAAGCCGAACCGTCTCAACCCTCAACCTTGAACCTTGAACCTTAAACCCAAAAAAACCCAAAACCCCAAACCGTGAACCTTGAGCCCTAAGCCCTCAACCCTCAACTAGCCCTCAACCCTAAACCCCAAACCATAAACCCGGAACCCTAAACCCTAAACCCAACCCTTATTGCCGTAATCGCCAGGCTCACGCGGATGCGCTGGGCCGGGCCGAGGCGGGTCGCGTAGCGTTAAAATTAGGAGGCCCTTACCCATGCACGTGCTTTCTTTGCCAAGTGGCGCCGTCTGTGGATGGATGAACACCTGCTACGGCAAGTGCAGGATTCAGAACTTGTGTAGGGCTTCCCTAAACCCCAAACCCTAAACCCTAAACCCTAATTACTGGCAGGTGGACTCCTTATTGAATTGGCAAAAGATACCAGGAAGCAGGCAATGGCCCATGCCCATACTGAATTCAGCTGGGGTTGCTTGACCTCACACCACAAGGGTCCCCGCCAATAATGATGCCCAGGGTTGATTATGGGGATTGTTATACTCTATGACCCCTTAAAATGAGGCCCCTTATAGGGTTGATTGTGGGGATTATAAGGCCAGAATAGCCCATCCTAGTAGCAGCCAGGATACCCCTCCACAAAAGTCATGCACACTCAGATGACCCGCATACTCGAAGCAACACATGCACACACACAAAACGTGTTGACACTTTATCTTTGTCACTGGTTAATGGTTGTCACGTGCACTCACAACAACGCAATATTTACCGACTCGGAAAATCCGGAAGAAAAGCACCCCCCCCCCCCGGAAAATGTCCAAAAGCAACTTTCGACGTGTCTTGCCACAAGAAGAACGTCCACAGGATGAGGGGCATCTGATGAGAAGCACGAGTAACGACATGATGAGACCTTCTGCACGCCTCCCAAAGGCAAGCCGCCCTACCAGCAAAGTCTGATTAAGACTCCTGCATATGATGGTACAAAATGTATCTGGGATCTCCGGCGACCGGAATTTAGAAGAAGCATGGTCCAGGTTTCAGCTTTGTGTCTCTAGGTCACCGAAGTAAGCCGGGCTGACCTGATGTCTCAGGAGCCCTGCCCCGTACAAACCCCCCCCCGCCCCAACCCTAAACCCTAAACCCTAAACCCTAACCCGAAACCCTAAACCCTAAACCCTAACCACCGAAACCCTATGGAAACCCGAAGCCCTGAAAGCCCCAAAGCCCTGCAGTCCTAAAAAAAGAACAACAACCGCGTGCCTTGAAGCCTCAAGAAGACTCTTGCTGCCCATCTGGGTCTTAGGCTGTGGGGATTTTAGGGTTCAGGGTTTAGGGTTTAGGGTTTAGGGTTTAGGGTTTAGGGTTGAGGGGATTTTCGGGTTCAGGGCTTAAGAAACTTGACGCCTCACCCGCCCAAGCATCGCAAGCGCCCAACCCTGTCCCCGGCCTGGGGGGCGGACGCCGACAGTGCTGTAGTGAAAGGAGCCTGGTTTCGTACCGGGGGCTTACGATGATATGTCGAGGCTTTGGTACCAGCAAGCTGGGAAGCTAAACCCTAAACCCTAAACCCTAAACCCTAAACCCTAAACCCTAAACCCTAAACCCTAAACCCTAAACCCTAAACCCTAAACCCTAAACCCTAAACCCGACAGCTACACTGCAAAGAGCCGAGGCATGCGCTGGAGGGCTCAAAGTGTGAGGGTGTTTTTGTGTGTTTAGGCATCCTCCAATACATCCTCGGCCCAGGCCCCAGGCCATTCAGAAGCCACAACCCTAAACCCTAAACCCTAAACGCCTAACACACCGTATCGCCCTGTCATCTTGCCAGGAAGCGGCTGGGGTTGAAGCTGGCGACTGATAACCACCAGCCCACCTGTTGCCAGGAGCTGGCTGTCTGGTTCTTGGCAGGGAATGAGGGCCCTACATAATTCCTTAAAGGGTATACATAGGGCCCTGCATAATCCCTTAAAAGGTATACATAGGGCCCTACATAATCCCTTAAAGGGTATATATAGGGCCCTGCATAATCCCTTAAAGGGTATATATAGGGCCCCTCATTCCCTCCCTACAGAGAAGCAGGCTCATGGGATGATTGGGAGCCCTGGGGTCCCGCAAAGGTGCATTTCGGGGGTGCTCCAAACCCTAAACCCTAAACCCTAAACCCTAAGCCCTAAGCCCTAAGCCCTAAACCCTAAACCCTAAGCCCTAAACCCCAAACCCTAAACCCTAAACCCTAAACCCTACCAAGGGGCTCCTAAGGCTGCGAGAGGAATCTGACACCGAAGCTTCCCTGGAGCCCTCCTTTGCCACTCTGGACATAAATGTAAAAAACAACCAAACAAATAAATATATATATATATATATATAATAACATAACATAACATAACATAACATAACATAACATAACATAACATAATATAATATAATATAATACAATATAATATAATATAATATAATATAATATAATATAATATAATATAATATAATATAATATAATATAATATAATATATAATAATGTAATGTAATGTAATGTAATGTAATATAATATAATATAATATAATATACAATATAATATAATATAATATAATATAATATAATATAATATAATATATAATATATAATATATAATATAATATAATATAATATAATATAATATAATATAATATAATACAATAAATATATATATATATATATATTTACATATGTATCTGTATATATTATGTATAAGTGTGTATATATATATATATAATAAAGGCGTCCATGTGCATGTGTAGGTATAATGTCAAGAAGCACCCTTGCCGAGAAGAAAGACAAGACAGCGACGCGCTTCACAAGACCCCCTTGTGTTTCGGATGGCAAGGGGGGAGTAGCAGTTGTTGGACTTCAGGATATGAGACCCTAGCTTGCTTTTTTAGGGCGCTTTCGCCAACACCCTCCATGCCCCAGCAAAGCGGGAGGTTCTCTCACCTTTTGTTCACCATAGAAGCGAGCCGCAGTGCCGTACAAAGTGAACGGCTTTATCTCAAACATGGGTGCAGCTGCCCCGGCGCTATAAGCCCAGAACCAATAGGGTTTAGGGTTTAGGGTTTAGGGTTTAGGGTTTAGGGTTTAGGGTTTAGGGTTTAGGGTTTAGGGTTTAGGGTTGGGAGCTGCACACAGAGCATTTGACCATCTGCCCCAGCGCAGTTGCTGCAGAAAGCTTCCCTTCCCTGTGTAACTTTACACTTTGAGACGGTGGGACGCGTGATTCAGCGAACGGTCTGACTCTGTAACTCCCTAGCTAGGACCCTCTTTACCTACAGTTTTATGGGTCATACCTACTAATTAAGGGGTAGCTACTATTCAACCCTAAACCCTAAACCCTAAACCCTAAACCCTAAACCCTAAACCCTAAACCCTAAACCCTAAACTGCAGGCAAATCGAGTCCCAGGTCGGCAAGTCTGTGAACCCGGCACGAGGGTGCGTAATGTTTGAACATCATCTTGTACTGCCTGCAACTCTCCCAATTACCGACAGTCTTCTGGGTTATACCTACTAAGTACAGGGGCAAGTTCTGCTAAGCTGTAGGTAACTGGGGTTACAGGTATACGGCTTCATGACCTGCTTGCGCCTTCTGATTTGCTAAGCAACTGGGCTTAAGAGCATGACAAACCAGGCCAGTCTCGTGGAGAGACCTTCGCAGAGATCCAGGGGACACTGATTCAGGAAGTGCACTGCACGGCTCACTGCAGTGCTTCTTACATGTGATATTGTAGGTATGGAGGTTTACGACAATAAGGGATCCCTAACATGAACCCCCAAACAATGGCACTCCCTTAGACTTAGAATCAGGACCCCAACAAGGTACCCCTAATTTCGCAAATCCTTCTGTGATATTGTACATGTGATTGTGATCCTGAAACACCAAACACTCTAAATTATGGTGCCGTTTAGGGTACCCTAAATAAGAGGGGCCGCCTTATCATATGGAACCCAACAAGGACCATCATTTGGAGAAATCACCACATGGTGGCGGATGGTAGCGGGCGACAACCTGAGCAGCGGGTCCTGGTCCCCTCGGCCTGGTCTCGTGTAGGTATGCGAAATGATACGGGCCAGGGTGACCCAGGGCGCAAGAGCTGAACTCTCTGAAGACTCCGATATTGGTAGCTGTTGAAGATACCTGTTACACACAAAATTATGCCGGCGGAGGCCCCAAACGGTGAGAGACCATGTGAACCCAGACGTCCAAAAGCGATGACAGTTTCACACGTCACGAGACCAGAAGTCAAAATGTTGGCGAGCACCGACGTCCAAAAGCGGTCAGTTTCGAGAATGGCGACCGCGGCCACGCCCGCGCCCAGGCGAGAATGCCATCTTCGTCCAAGATGCGAGCAGAGTATGGGGGAGGCACGGTGAGAAAAAGCAAGAATGATCAACACCCACCGGGCTTTTTCAGCTAACGCTGCTCCGTATTTTCGAAGACGAAGAGAAGAATTCCGATGTCAGACTCAATTTGTGGAATGCAAACTGTCCTTTGCAAGCTGGAGAATCGTTGTCGACACTGCGGAAAACATTGGTTTTGCGTCACAACAACTTGAACATTTTTGGGGAACTGCTGTACAGAAATTTCGGGGCTTCCGCAACAGGATTTGCTGCATTCCTTTAAGCAAGTTACATTTGACCTATCTGCTTTGTTAGCGTGCTGCTACTTACTGCTAAGCGGTGAACAGAATATGCGCATGGATTGATAGAATACGAGGCATCATGTTGGTCTTGAAAGCGGTTTAGGGTTTAGGATTTAGGGTTTAGGGTGCCATTGTCATGTTCTTGCGGTGCCGCAGTGACTGGGCTTAATCATTCCTTACGTGCCCAGCCTGCTTCTTACAAAGCGAAGCACGCGCGACTCGGCCCCACTGATATGAAGTAGGGTAAATATTTCTTGTATCCTCAAAAGGACACCCGGGATATACACTCACCAATATTAAAAAGGAACCTTACATACACTCACCAATAATCACTAATATAAACCCTGCTTCACATAACTTAAGCTGACCCGGCCATCTTCCAACATGGCGCTGGCATGGTGATGCAGGGTCTTCTTTTTTTGGTACAGCAGGGGTCATCGGAACATAAAGCAAAGCTAAGCCCCAATTTCGATGACTCATGACAACCCCACGGCGCATATATATATATATATATATATGTAAGAGGAACCTCTATGTACTATTTGACATGGCTGCTTTCTGTATTAAAAGTCTTAATAGTTTTAATAGTTTGAATTTTTAAAAAAGCCTCCGAAACTATTAAAACTATTAAAAAGAAGCATTTTTAATAGTTTTAATAGTTTTAATAGTTTCAACTTTTAAAAAGCCTTCCGAACTATTAAAACTTTAAAAAGAGAAGGCCTGGCCAGGAGATTCCTGAACTTTTAAAACTATTAAAACTTTTAAAACTATTAAAACTATTAAAAATTTTTAAAAAGGCTTCCTTTTAATAGTTTTAATAGTTTTAATAGTTTGAACTTTTAAAAAGCCTCCCAAACTATTAAAACTATTAAAAAGAAGCCTTTTGAATAGTTTTAATAGTTTTAATAGTTTTAATAGTTTTAATAGTTTTAATAGTTTTAAAAGTTCAGGAATCTCCAGGCCAGGCCTTCTCCTTTTTAAAGTTTTAATAGTTTTAATAGTTTCAACTTTTAAAAAGCCTCCCAAACTATTAAAACTATTAAAAAGAAGCCTTTTTAATAGTTTTAATAGTTTTAATTGTTTTAATAGTTTTAAAAGTTTTAAAAGTTTTAAAAGTTTTAAAAGTTCGGGAATCTCCAGGCCAGGCCTTTGCCTTTTTAAAGTTTCAATAGTTTTAATAGTTTGAACTTTGAAAAAGCCTCCCAAACTATTAAAACTATTAAAAAGAAGCCTTTTTAATGGTTTTAATAGTTTTAATAGTTTTAATAGTTTCAACTTTTAAAAAGCCTTCCAAACTATTAAAACTTTAAAAAAGAGAAGGCCTGGCCAGGAGATTCCTGAACTTTTAAAACTATTAAAACTTTTAAAACTATTAAAACGATTAAAACTTTTAAAAAGGCTTCCTTTTAATAGTTTTAATAGTTTTAATAGTTTTAATAGTTTTAATAGTTTTAATAGTTTTAATAGTTTGAACTTTTAAAAAGCCTCCCAAACTATTAAACCTATTAAAAAGAAGCCTTTTTAATAGTTTTAATAGTTTTAATAGTTTTAATAGTTTTAATAGTTTTAAAAGTTTTAAAGGTTTTAAAAGTTCAGGAATCTCCAGGCCAGGCCTTCTCCTTTTTAAAGTTTTAATAGTTTTAATAGTTTGAACTTTTAAAAAGCCGCCGAAACTATTAAAACTATTGAAAAGAAGCATTTTTAATAGTTTTAATAGTTTTTAATAGTTTTAGTAGTTTTAAAAGTTTTAAAAGTTCAGGAATCTCCAGGCCAGGCCTTCTCCTTTTTAAAGTTTCAATAGTTTTAATAGTTTCAACTTTTAAAAAGCCTCCCAAACTATTAAAACTATTAAAAAGAAGCCTTTTTAATAGTTTTAATAGTTTTAATAGTTTCAACTTTAAAAAAGCCTTTCAAACTATTAAAACATTAAAAAGATTTAAAAGTTCAGGAATTTCCTGGACAGGGCCCCGGGCCTCTCCCCAATACAAAACCACGAGCCCGGGCCTCCCCCCAATACTAAATTACGAGCCCGGGCTTCTCCCCAATACTAAATTACGAGCCCGGGCCTCCCCCCAATATTAAATTACGAGCCCGAGCCTCCCCCCAATACTAAATCACGAGCCCAGGCCTGCCCCCAATACTAAATCACGAGCCCAGGCCTCCCCCCAATACTAAACCACAAGCCCGGGCCTCCTTCCAATACT